TTAAGTATTTCTGAAGTGAATGACCTACCCCACCTTTAAGTGTTTCTGAAGTGAATGGACTGGCTTATCTAAAGCCAGTTGAGTAGCACTTGAAATGTTTGGCTCTATGAAACCTGATGTACTTTATGATTCTGTTTTCTTCAAGGTTGTGTCTTCCTGGTCGAATGTACTTATTGTAAGTCGCTTTGGATAAAAGCGTCAGCTAAATGCAATGTAATGTAATGTAATGAATGACCTACCCCACCTTTAAGTGTTTCTGAAATGAATGACCTACCCCACCTTTAAGTGTTTCTGAAATGAATTACCTACCCCACCTTTAAGTGTTTCTGAAGTGAATTACCTACCCCACCTTTAAGTGTTTCTGAAGTGAATGACCTACCCCACCTTTAAGTGTTTCTGAAGTAAATGACCTACCCCACCTTTAAGTGTTTCTGAAATGAATTACCTTCCCCACCTTTAAGTGTTTCTGAAGGGAATTACCTACCCCACCTTTAAGTGTTTCTGAAGTGAATTACCGACCCCACCTTTAAGTGTTTCTGAAGTGAATGACCTACCCCACCTTTAAGTGTTTCTGAAGTGAATTACCGACCCCACCTTTAAGTGTTTCTGAAGTGAATGACCTACCCCACCTTTAAGTGTTTCTGAAGTGAATGACCTACCCCACCTTTAAGTGTTTCTGAAATGAATTACCTACCCCACCTTTAAGTGTTTCTGAAGGGAATTACCTACCCCACCTTTAAGTGTTTCTGAAGTGAATTACCGACCCCACCTTTAAGTGTTTCTGAAGGGAATTACCTACCCCACCTTTAAGTGTTTCTGAAGTGAATGACCTACCCCACCTTTAAGTGTTTCTGAAGTGAATGACCTACCCTACCTTTAAGTGTTTCTGAAGTGAATGACCTACCCCACCTTTAAGTGTTTCTGAAATTAATTACCTACCCCACCTTTAAGTGTTTCTGAAGGGAATTACCTACCCCACCTTTAAGTATTTCTGAAGTGAATTACCGACCCCACCTTTAAGTGTTTCTGAAGTGAATTACCTACCCCACCTTTAAGGGTTTCTGAAGGGAATTACCTACCCCACCTTTAAGTGTTTCTGAAGTGAATGACCTACCCCACCTTTAAGTGTTTCTGAAGTGAATGACCTACCCCACCTTTAAGTGTTTCTGAAGTGAATGACCTACCCCACCTTTAAGTGTTTCTGAAATGAATGACCTACCCCACCTTTAAGTGTTTCTGAAGGGAATTACCTACCCCACCTTTAAGTGTTTCTGAAGGGAATTAGGAATGAGTCCTAATGCTCGGGACGTGAGAGTAAAGAGGGGAAGACTTTAATAAACAGAGGAGAATGAGAAGAGAACGTCACTTCCTTTATTCCAGTCGTCAGGTAGGAAAATATATTCACACGAGTCGCCCGTCTCTCCGACAGGAAGTCAAGCTGCATCACAGATTATTGGGCAACGTTTACACATTTTTTTAATTTTTTTTTGGACCAATGTCGACTCCCCGAAATTAAATATTCAATTAAAGTGCAAAACAAAACCAAGAACAGCTGAGCACGGGGGGGGGGGGGGGGGGGGGGGCAGTCATTGAGATACAGAAACACACAGGATAGAAACCATGCAAAGCAAAACACATCATACACTTATAATAATAATAAAATCTGCACAACAACGAGCTGTACAACCGTCGGACACGAGGACACAAAGCAGAGACACGGAGGAAAACTAAATAAAACGGCAGCTCTCAAATCTGTCTGGTGTCAGAGTCACACTCAGAGACTACATTTCCCAGAAGCCCCAGCTGAGTGTGTCTCTGACAGGAAACAGGGCTACCGTTAGCCTTCTTTACCCCAGAATCTGCGGAGAGACCAGGATCCTCGAACGCCTCGTCATGCCGTCACCTTTTATAATCAAAGTATTTATCTGATGATTAATCACAGATGTCACATGACCCTTGTTCAGGTCACATGACCCTCGTTCAGGTCACATGACAGCCGTTCAGGTCACATGACCCTCGTTCAGGTTACATGACAGCTGTTCAGGTCACATGACCCTTGTTCAGGTCACATGACAGCCGTTCAGGTCAGGAGTTAAAGGGACAGCTCCTGTGTTTATGAGATTTCAGCAGGTCATGGTGAACTCCTGCCACGTTAATATGAGACTTGGTGACTCAGAAATAACCTTTTAAGTCCCACAATAACACAACAAATGTCCCGATTGTATTTCCACTACACCAGCACCTCAGTGTCTTTGTGACTGGTGTCAGTCGGTGGTTTACTGGTCTTGTTGGGTGACTCTGGAGCCTCTGAACGACCCTTTAAAACACCAAAGTCTCACATTAAGACAACAGCTGATGGACAACAGACTGCATTCATTTAACCTGCAGAATTCAGCAGTTTCTGGTCCAACTCTGTGAGAAACTGTCCCTTTAAGACACGACTGTTCCTTTAAGAGGCTCCTGTCCCTTTAAGACACGACTGTTCCTTTAAGAGGCTCCTGTCCCTTTAAGACACAACTGTTCCTTTAAGAGGCTCCTGTCCCTTTAAGACACAACTGTTCCTTTAAGAGGCTCCTGTCCCTTTAAGACACAACTGTTCCTTTAAGAGGCTCCTGTCAATCAATCAGCAGGTAAACATCCCACAACAGGAAGTGACATCAGAGGACGCTGAGGTTGATTCTTATAGAGAGCCGAAGTGACGCGTCCTAAAACCCGGAAGTAAACTCCTTCCGGTTCCTTCGACAAAAACGCAATGCAATTTCTCCATAGGGTTTTGGAAAATAGCTGGAAATCAGGTCTGTGGTTGAAACACATTCAAGAGATGGATCACGTTTTGTTCAGCCGGATAATCTCCACATGTCTACTTTTATAATGTTCCAATCATAAATCTAATGTCCAGAAGCAAAATGCTAACGTTATGCTATAAAGGAGCTACAGCAGAGTCGCTGCTTCAACGTCACGCCAACTTCAGATCCAGATTCAAACACACAGATTCTAGATGGAACGAGTTGAAGCGTTTGAACACTCTGCAGGAGGCAGGGACTTGCTTTCAAGCAGAACAGAAACTAACTTAGAGGAGTGTTCACGTGTTCGGCGTAATGACGTACAACGTCCTCCACGACTTCTGTAGTCCTATTCAGCCACTTGGTAACAACCATCGTTTCTCAGACACGTCCACTCTTCAGAAATCACAGTGGGGTCTCTGCTGATGATTTAATGTCCTAGAACAAAACGTGACCCGTCTCTTCAATGTGTCTCAACCACAGACCTTATTCAGATAGTTTCCTAAACCCTACGGAGAGATCCCGTTGCTTTTTGTCGAAGGAACCGGAAGTGGTAAAAATGCTAACTTACTTCCGGGTTTTAGGACACGTCACTGCGGTTCTCTATATGCGGTCACTCCACTACCCGAAACCCGATCCTTAAATCTTTGATTATCTAACCCGTTTCTGTTTTTGAGCCACGAGGCTCCACAGTGAAATATTCCCAGAACCAGAGCTCCCAGTGAGAGAAACTGAGAGCAGCTGGGCTCTTCCTGCCTTTGACTCTCTACGGTCTGATGGCCCAGTCCGTCCCAGTGAGAGATCCAAACTGGGACGGACTGGACTCCTTGGCGTTGTGGACACTTCCTTTTGAAACTGGGACTTCCTGAAGCTTTACAGGTGAGTTTCCTGTCACTAAAACTCTGCTTTAAATCCAGTTTCTGAACCTCTGATAAACGTTTCCCTCTGCAGTCGAACACGTAACTCTGAACTGTATTTCATCGATGCATAAAAACCATGAAACCATGAACCCGAGGACCTCCAGTGGTTTCAGGTCTGTTTGAAGACGGTCATTTCAACATGTTGACACTTCGTTTTTCTGATACAAAAAGAGAGCATAAACAGAGCTGCTTTAAACTCACTTTCCCATCATGCAACAGGAGTCATTTTAACAGTCAAAGAAATCACACTGTTGGCGTCCCTTTGAAACACAGGACGGAGGGACACACACACCTGTACACACACATGGATGTGCGAGTGTTGATGTGAAACAGTGATATGCGGTTTGAAGCACCAACGAAGAAGAAGAAGACGCCCGGAGGCGGTTTGGCAGAAAAAACAAACGTCAACAATGTGGCGTAACCACGACGTCCACCAACGAAGAAGAAGATGGGGGCAGATAGTTTCTAACCTCTTTCTGGGAATCTTTCGATAGAGACAAACATTTTCCATTCTACTTCTAATAGTTAATTTTAACAAATATTTTTAAGTTAAAATTGAAAAAGCAGATTTTTTTAATGTTTTGTATCTTTTTACAAAATAGGGTTAGCATCATGTGAACTGGTTTAATTATTTTTTCTCACATTTTATCGAAACACATCCCATAATTTCCCTCAACTCAAACAGAGTGAACTCTAACGTCTCAGAGAAACCGTGGTGACGTCACATCGCTGATCAGAGGAGCTAGTGCAAAGGAAGCATGGCAACGATAGCTAAGCTAGGCTAGTGCTAGGCTAGTGCTAGGCTTGACTAGTGCTAGGTTTAGGCTAGTGCTAGGCTAGACTAGGTTTAGGCTAGGCTCGACTAGGTTTAGGCTAGGCTAGTGCTACAGAGGCTGGCCCTCTTCCCTCAGTATTACTGCATGCTGACTCTTCAGGTCACTTGGTGATGAAGACAAACTGCTTCAGGCCACATTAACAACTTGCAATAACTATAATAATGAATAATAAACTGCATCTCTGCTGGGCCTGTGGGGCTAATAAGAGCTAATGTCAGTCGGGGGAAACGTTACACCCCGTCGGGCCGAGCTGCTGTCGCTAAGGGGTTCTCTGTGGAAGTGGAATCACGTAAACACCACTCATTCTGTTATTCTGTGATGTTTAAATAAATGTTCTCCAGTTTCAACTTTGTGGGGAAATTATGATTTACTCTTCTTATAACTCTTATTTATGAATCGGTGGCATTTGAAAACACCTTCACTAAAGAAACTCCACCGACTTTAAAGTCTCATCAAATTTATAACTGAATTTAGTCAGAATGTGGTTCATCTTTACACAAGGGGCGGCTTATGAGGGGGCACACACACACACACACACACACACACACACACACACACACACACACACACACACACACACACACACACACACACACACACACACACACACACACACACACACACACACACACACACACACACACACACACACACACACACACACACAAGGCGGCGCTCCGGTGAAGATCTAAGGAACCTCGAGAGGCTCAACCCGTAGTACCTTCTGTGTCTCCTTCCCTACTTCCTGTTTCCTCCTTCGTTTAGTCACTCCTTTATTCTTCTTCTAAATCATCTGAGGCTGCACATAGTCTGGAGATGGAGGAGGGAAGGAAGGGGAGGAAGGAAGGAAGGAAGAGGGAAGGAGGGAAGGAAGGGAATATGAAAACGTTTAATTGGCTTCATGTATCCTCACTCTGGGATTTTCACCAAATCAGGAAGAGCAAAGAGGCCAAAAGAGGGGCGGGGCTTAATGTTCCAGGTGAGGTTAAACAGCTGATAGAAGAGAGTTATGGCGCCTTTCCACTGCAGGGCCTCGCTCGGCTCAGCACGGTATGGTTTATTTCTGTCTGTAGGCCGTTGTTGTGAGTGTGGACGGTCTGCGTTAGCTTAGCCGATCTCCATTCAGAAAACACGCTGAGATTTTGGAGAGCCAGAAAACTGTGAAAAAGTATCCGCTAGCCGGAACTACGCCGAGTGGAAACGCAACCAAAAGCGGGCCGGGCACTTAAACCGCGCTGCAGTGGAAAAGCACCATTATTGTCCCTTAGAGCCCCCCTCCTCTTCCTCCCTCCTCTTCATCACTGTGAGGGGAGAACAGGAAGTGGGAGCGCAGGAATAGGAAGTGGGCGTGTCCAGGTGCAGCTCCACGGGGGTGAGGGTGATCTCCACCTGGTCATCATCGTGCAGCGTGGGGGGGGGCAGCACAGCTGATGGAACAGCCAACATGTTGTTTCCTGGTCTCGGGGCTTTCTGAATGACCCCCTGAATCTCCCAATGGGGGGGGGGGGCGCTCTGCAACAGCTGGATGACACCCCCCGTTACCGAGGTGATGATTGGCATGTGAGAGGGGGGAGGGGGTTTGGGTGAGAGAACAGCCGGAGGAAGAGGGGGCGGGGCTTCTTCTGGGCGCGGTTTCCTGGGTCGTCCTCGCTTTCTTTTCAGAGGGAGGGGGGCGGGGAACGGGTCAGAGGGGGGTCGTTTGGTGACCCCTGACCCTTGACCCCGGGGCTTCTGTAGCACCGAGGTGGGGGCTGAGAGCTGAGGGGGTGGCGGGGCGGCGGAGGTCAGGACGCTCTGTGGGAGGATCATCACTGGAAGAGCCCCGCCCCCCATGGAGATGACTTTCACCTGACCTCCGGGGGCCGAAGCTCCTCCCACACCTGGGGGGTCTTTGGGAGCCAGCGAGGGGGAAGGAGCTAACAGAGAGGGGGAGGAGCTAACAGACAGGTGAGTCTTATCGGGGAGGGAAGAGCGGGGGAGGATTCTGGGTAACTGCTTCATGAAGGCCTCCACCTGAAACACATCATCAGTATCATTGTTGTTGTTGTTGTTGTAATTAATACGATACGATAATCCTTTATTGGTCAGATAAATATTTGTTACACACGGAGCTGCTGTGACTTGCATCACGTGTAACACATACCACGACACAATACATGAGAAACAAACAACATGTAACATAACAGCAGCATCAGAGAGAGATGTTGATGTTAAATGTTTGTTGTTTGTTAAACAGATGTAAGACATGACGTGTAGACGTACCGCAGGCCGCAGAGATGAGGAAGAGGAGGATGAAGGAGGAAGAGGAGCGTCCAGAGGCTTCACTGCTGCAGCTGATTTGTCTCCAGGCCTCAGTGAAGAAGACGAGGAAGAAGAGTCGCCGAAGTCCTTCTGCAGAGACAGGAAGTGATTAGCAGCAGGTATCAGGTGAGCTCACCTTGTGATCAAGTGATGAACAGCAGGGTTGCAGTCAGATAATCCAAAAATCAGCTCCTATCGTCTATCCATTTTTTTTTTCTGACTCACCTTTACTCACCGCTGGGTCACCAGACCTTCCTTCCACCAACACACTGACCTCCTTTTCCCCTCTCTCTCCAAGTGAGGTTCTTACCCTCATTACCTCTGCCCGCCCTACCACCTGTCCTCTGGACCCTATCCCTTCAAACCTCCTTCAGACTATCGCTCCTGATATTCTACCGTTTCTCACCCATTTCATCAACACTTCTCTAACTTCTGGTCACTTTCCAAACAGTCTCAAGGAGGCAAGAGTAAACCCTCTCCTAAAGAAACCCACTCTCAACCCGTCTGATGTTATAAACTACAGGCCTGTCTCTCTCCTCCCGTTCCTGTCTAAATCACTTGAACGCGCTGTCTTTAAACAACTCTCCTGTTATCTCAATCAGAACAACCTTCTGGATCCGCACCAGTCTGGTTTCAAGGCAGGTCACTCCACAGAAACTGCTCTCATTGCTGTCACGGAGGAACTGCACACTGCCAAAACTGCATCCCTCTCCTCTGTCATCATCCTGTTGGACCTGTCTGCTGCATTCGACACGGTGAATCATCAGATCCTCCTTCGCACTCTCCAAGAACTTGGAGTTTCAGGCTCTGCACTTTCCCTCCTCACCTCATACCTGAAAGACCGTACCTACAGGGTGACTTGGAGAGGGTCTGAGTCCGACCCTTGTCAATTAACTACAGGGGTCCCTCAGGGCTCTGTTCTTGGTCCCCTCCTCTTCTCCCTGTACACAAACTCGTTCGGATCAGTCATTAGCCCGCATGGTTTTTCTTACCACTGCTACGCTGACGACACCCAATTAATTCTGTCCTTTCCCCGCTCAGAGACCCAGGTCGTCGCACGCATCTCTGCTTGTCTAGCTGACATCTCTCAGTGGATGTCTGTTCACCACCTCAAGCTCAACCTTGACAAGACTGAGCTGCTCTTCCTCCCGGGAAAAGATTGTCCCACTCTTGACCTAACAATCAACATCGGCACCTCAGTTGTTTCCCCGACTCAGACTGCAAGGAATCTGGGTGTGACCCTAGATAACAACCTGTCCTTCACTGCAAACATCGCTGCTACAACCCGTTGCTGCAGATACACGCTTTACAACATCAGGAAGATACGTTCCCAGCTGACTCAGAAAGCGACTCAGGTTCTGGTCCAGGCTCTCGTCATCTCACGCCTAGACTACTGCAACTCCCTCCTGGCTGGTCTACCTGCATGTGCCAATCGACCTCTGCAGCTCATCCAGAATGCAGCGGCTCGTCTGGTCTTCAACCTTCCTAAATGTTCCCACACCACTCCGCTCCTCCGCTCCCTTCACTGGCTTCCGGTAACTGCTAGAATCCACTTCAAGACACTGGTACTTGCTTACCATGCTGCGAATGGATCTGGCCCTTCCTACATCCAGGACATGGTTAAACCGTACACCCCAGCACGTGCACTCCGCTCTGCATCAGCCAAACGACTCGCTGCGCCCTCGCTGCGAGGGGGACCCAAGTTCCCATCAGCAAAAACACGTGGGTTTGCTATCCTGGCTCCAAGATGTTGGAATGAGCTCCCCATTGACATCAGGACAGCAGATAGCTTACACACCTTCCAGACTGAAAACTCATCTCTTTCGACTCCACTTCGAGCGATAGAACTATTAACAAAGCACTTTTATACTAATAAAGGACTGGCTTATCTAAAGCCAGTTGAGTAGCACTTGAAATGTTTGGCTCTATGAAACCTGATGTACTTTATGATTCTGTTTTCTTCAAGGTTGTGTCTTGCTGGTCGAATGTACTTATTGTAAGTCGCTTTGGATAAAAGCGTCAGCTAAATGCAATGTAATGTAATGTAATAATGTATCCCTATCTCCTATTCCTTGACCTCTGAGTGAAAGGTCACGGGGTTAAGGGATAGTGGATAGGAGAATTCAAAAGGACTTAGGAGAAGAGACTGCGGTACTTTAGAGAATCGACTGCACTTTCACTATCCGACGTGTTTCTGATGCGTCCAGCGGACGTCCTGAATGAGCGTCTGCTGCTGTGGGGAAACTATGGAGACTACAGTTCTCTATACAGCGGACTACAACATGGATGTTCAATAAGAACGAGGGACTCCTGTGAACTCATCTAGAGACTCTGTGCTCTGACGCTGCTGCTTTATGCTTTATGAACGTGGACAACAGAGAAACAGATTCTTCAGGACCAAAGCTGGAATTGAAATAAAAAGGAAAGTGAAGCTTCTGCTCGTCACCCTCTCCCTCCGGTCCACATTAATACAAATGATCCCAATACGTATGATTGATGGAAAGATCTTAAATCAATACAGATGTATTTATTATAAACGTTAGTCCTTAACATCTATCACTGTGTATATCACCATTCAAACATCTTTTAAAAGTTGAACAAACCCCACAGCTCAGTGAAGACTGTGAGATGTTGACTTTATTTGATCATTTCAGTAAAAACTAACGTTCATATTTCTCTCTTTGATTATAATACTGATGAACGTTCAGAACAAAGCACTTTGGCAACTTACCACATACGTTTAGCTTAATGAGCACCGTAACTTTCATGATATCATTTCTCCGTCATAATCGGTTGTTTCCGTGAACGGCCGACTGTTGAGTGACGGCAAATGCTGCGGCTGCAATGCATTGTGGGGCAGCATTTTCTCCTCTCCTCTCGGTTAGGGAGGTCCAGTGGTTCCTAAGCTAAAGCAGGTTATAAAGGAAGTTTGAAACCTCCTTTCCTTTCATTTGGAGAATTGGAACGGCACTTATCATGGCTGCCACTGAGGGACTTCCGGGTCATTTCACTCCGTGAGGAAGGTTCCTAAGAGAAACGGACTATTCCACTTCAGCCCAGGTATCAGGTGAACTCACCTTGTGATCAAGTGATGAACAGCTGAGGCCTGTACTACGAAGCTGGTTCAACCTAACCTGGATATGTTTGAGTTAGCCGGTTGGCCTAATCCAAAACATACGCGCTCTCGCTAAACTGTACTACGACGCGGGTTATCAAGTGGATCGCTCAAGCCAGCCGTGTCCTATCTAGTTAGGTGTTCACATGAGAGGGGTGGTATCTGGAGCATTCGACCAATCACAGACATGGAGAAGCACACTGACAGCGCAGCGTCATACTTCCTGAATGAAAAGTCAACTATAATATTAGACATATGAAGAAGTTAAAGCTGAAACATCCATGACTTAAACACTTGATCCAGGATCAAAGCCACAGAGCTGCACCTGCAAGGTGAACACAGCTGGGAACAGAACAAGTGTTTGAATGCGTACATGAACAGCTTTATGATATCACTGCCCGTCTAAGACACCATCTGACTTTCATTACATTTGACTCCAGTGTTTCCTCAACTTAATGTGTTGCTTCAAATAATGCTTCTGCATCCAGTCTGTGACGCTGTGAGTGTTGCACGGCCAGATACGGCTCAGCTGACTCAGATCAGGAGATGATACATTATGAAGTGATATGGACTGTACTTAATGTGACTCTGATCCGGTTACTTATGTTGTGGCAGATATTTAAGTAAGCTTTCTTAACGCTAATGTTATAATAGTCAGATTGCTCTGAAGATGGAGCTGATATTCTATTCATGTTCACGTTCACACAGTCGCTGATTGTTGCCGGCCGTCTTTCCTGCGACGGCAGCTTTTCTGTATTTCCTTTCTCCTGTAATATGACTTGATCGCTTTAAACTCCGCACACTGAGCTCTGATTGGTCAGCAGGCGGTGCTTTCACTGAGTTGAGCTCTTAGCCTGCAACCTAACCTGCTCCGGAGCAGGTTAGCCGCTCAGCATCAGTTACCATGGAGATCTAGCCGCTAAGAAGAGAACCAGCTTCGTAGGACCGGAAACCCAGAGTTACCCTGAAGTTAGCCGCTAAGAGAACATCCGGCTTCGTAGTACAGGCCTCAGGTATCAGGTGAGCTCACCTTGTGATCAGCTGCTCCTTCGCTGTCTGCTTTAGAAATCACCGTCTTCTTGATGACTTTGTGGGGTTTGGCTGGACCTCCTGCAGAGAGACAGCTGTCAATCATCTCTAAAACATCAGATATCTGAAGCACGTTAATTATTAGGATTATTTTCAGATTGATATTAGTGATACACACACACACACACACACACACACACACACACACACACACACACAACACACACACACACACACACACACACACACACCACACACACACACACACACACACACACAACACACACACACACACACACACACACACACACACACACACACACACACACACACACACACACACACACACACCACACACACACACACACACACACACACACACACACACACACACACACACACACACACACACACACACACACACCTGCGAGTGCAGCGGAGGTCACCAGCTCAGCCTGGCTGCAGCGAGGGTTCACGATGTGCTCCTGGATCAGATATCGGGCGATTTCCACCGTCGTGTCGAACGAGCGCTTCAGGATCTTCTGCGCCCAATCACAGATCAGCTCGCACGCCGCCTCCGTCACTTCCTGTTTATACGTCTGCACCAACTCCGTCAGCTCCGCCTGCAGAAACACAGAGTTCATCAGGTTAACTTCATGAGAGAGGAACACAGAGTTCATCAGGTTAACTTCATGAGAGAGGAACACAGAGTTCATCAGGTTAACTTCATGAGAGAGGAACACAGAGTTCATCAGGTTAACTTCATGAGAGACGAACACAGAGTTCATCAGGTTAACTTCATGAGAGAGGAACACAGAGTTCATCAGGTTAACTTCATGAGAGGAACACAGAGTTCATCAGGTTAACTTCATGAGAGACGAACACAGAGTTCATCATGTTAACTTCATGAGAGGAACACAGAGTTCATCAGGTTAACTTCATGAGAGAGGAACACAGAGTTCATCAGGTTAACTTCATGAGAGAGGAACACAGAGTTCATCAGGTTAACTTCATGAGAGAGGAACACAGAGTTCATCAGGTTAACTTCATGAGAGAAGAACACAGAGTTTCATCAGGTTAACTTCATGAGAGACGGAACACAGAGTTCATCAGGTTAACTTCATGAGAGGAACACAGAGTTCATCAGGTTAACTTCATGAGAGGAACACAGAGTTCATCAGGTTAACTTCATGAGAGGAACACAGAGTTCATCAGGTTAACTTCATGAGAGGAACACAGAGTTCATCAGGTTAACTTCATGAGAGACGAACACAGAGTTCATCAGGTTAACTTCATGAGAGGGACACCAGAGTTTCATCAGGTTAACTTCATGAGAGAGAACACAGAGTTCATCAGGTTAACTTCATGAGAGACGAACACAGAGTTCATCAGGTTAACTTCATGAGAGAGGAACCAGAGTTCATCAGGTTAACTTCATGAGAGAGGAACACAGAGTTCATCAGGTTAACTTCATGAGAGGAACACAGAGTTCATCAGGTTAACTTCATGAGAAGGGAACACAGAGTTCATCAGGTTAACTTCATGAGAGAGGAACACAGAGTTCATCAGGTTAACTTCATGAGAGAGGAACACAGAGTTCATCAGGTTAACTTCATGAGAGGAACACAGAGTTCATCAGGTTAACTTCATGAGAGGAACACAGAGTTCATCAGGTTAACTTCATGAGAGAGGAACACAGAGTTCATCAGGTTAACTTCATGAGAGAGGAACACAGAGTTCATCAGGTTAACTTCATGAGAGGAACACAGAGTTCATCAGGTAACTTCATGACAGGAACACAGAGTTCATCAGGTTAACTTCATGAGAGACGAACACAGAGTTCATCAGGTTAACTTCATGAGAGACGAACACAGAGTTCATCAGGTTAACTTCATGAGAGAGGAACACAGAGTTCATCAGGTTAACTTCATGACAGGAACACAGAGTTCATCAGGTTAACTTCATGAGAGAGGAACACAGAGTTCATCAGGTTAACTTCATGAGAGACGAACACAGAGTTCATCAGGTTAACTTCATGAGAGGAACACAGAGTTCATCAGGTTAACTTCATGAGAGGAACACAGAGTTCATCAGGTTAACTTCATGAGAGGAACACAGAGTTCATCAGGTTAACTTCATGAGAGGAACACAGAGGGTTCATCAGGTTAACTTCATGAGAGACGAACACAGAGTTCATCAGGTTAACTTCATGAGAGAGGAACACAGAGGGTTCATCAGGTTAACTTCATGAGAGACGAACACAGAGTTCATCAGGTTAACTTCATGAGAGAGGAACACAGAGGGTTCATCAGGTTAACTTCATGAGAGACGAACACAGAGTTCATCAGGTTAACTTCATGAGAGAGGAACACAGAGGGTTCATCAGGTTAACTTCATGAGAGACGAACACAGAGTTCATCAGGTTAACTTCATGAGAGACGAACACAGAGTTCATCAGGTTAACTTCATGAGAGAGGAACACAGAGTTCATCAGGTTAACTTCATGAGAGAGGAACACAGAGAGTTCATCAGGTTAACTTCATGAGAGAGGAACACAGAGTTCATCAGGTTAACTTCATGAGAGAGGAACACAGAGGGTTCATCAGGTTAACTTCATGAGAGGATGTGATGCCCCTGTGGGTGCATCAGTAGATAGGGTGTGGCTGTTCTGTCTGTGCTGCATTGGCTCCAGTGATTGCACCGATTGCAGTAACTCAGGGCACCTGGGTCTGGTGCTCTGCAGCTATCTTAAAGCCTCTCTGCTCCTGTCTGCTCTCTCGCTCTGTTTTCCTGCAGGCACCCGGCTCTGATGAGTATAACCAATGTGTTGAATTGACCAGTGTTGTGCAAATAAACACCTTTACCTACCCGTTGACATGTTGTGTCTCCTTTTTGTTGTGGCCTTTTGAGCCAGGTCGCAACAAATGGGGGCTCGTCCAACGGGTTATTTATTTAAAAGTTTGTGTAGTGCTCATTGAGCAGCTGATTCATTGTGGTGGTCCAGCTGTGTGCTGGCGCTGCTATTTGGGGGACACATCATGTCTTTTGGGTTTCAGGATGCTTTAGTGTTTGACATGGCATCAGGTTTTGTGTGCCAATCAGAAGGTAAGATATTGCTGTTTGTTACGCTTTTGTAAAAGAGATTTTCCCCGCTAGGCTTAAGTGGCGTTTCCCCTTGGGTTCCGTCTGTTTGTTTTTTTCATAGTGTTGTGGCGACGTGGTTGGTGTCAGCTGTTTTCGGACAGCTGTCTCGGGGGCACATCCGCGTGATTTCTTGGTGTTACCTGCGTGCAGGTCGCTCCATAAATCCGCCGGGTTCCAGTGCGTAATTACCCGCCGCAAGCCACATGAAGACTAGGTGAGAGTAGGAAGATTTTGGTAAGGCAGTTAGGGGGGAATTCTCTGTTGGGTTTTGTCTTTTCGCCCAGGCGTGTTGACAGTTGAGTACTTTGCTTTCTGATTGGGTATAGGCAATATATTATGGCTTCTTTGTCAGCGTTTGTGGATGCGCCCTCAGTATCTTTCTTGGATGGTTGCCAGAAGGCGCAGTTGATCGAAATAGCAGAGCATTATGAAATTGCTGTTGTAGGGAGCAAGCGGAAACATGACATTAAAGCTGTCATCGTGTCATCTTTGTTTGAGCGGGGAGTGTTACAGAAGAGTGAGTCTGGTGTGGCAGGGGTCGGGCCAGTAGTGGTTCAGACAGTTGGTTTGACATTCGAACAGCAAAAGGAGCTTTTGGCCATGCAGTTTAATCAGGAGAGATTGCAGTTGGAGTTGAAGTTGGAGCAGGAGAAGTTGCAGTTGGAAATGAGGGGTCAGCAGCAGGAGGTAGAGAAGCGTTTAGAGGTGGAGAAGGTGCTGGAGGTGGAAAAGATGAAATGTGAGGTGGAACATGCTAGATTACGGCTGATGGGAGAGGGCAAGTTTTCTCCAGGGGAGGATGGTGGTGCTAGGTTAGCATCAGGCAGTGGCGATATAATTTCTTACTTGCGATTAGTGCCAAAGTTCAATGAGCGTGACCCGGACATTTTTTTCACTCTATTTGAACACATAGCAGAGGCAAGAAACTGGTCAGATTCGGACAGAGTGCTGTTACTTCAGTGTGTACTCACTGGGCGAGCACAGGAAGCCTATTCAGCTATTTGTGGCGAAAATACTTTGGACTATGATAGAGTAAAATCAGCGGTGTTGAAATCTTACGAACTGGTTCCTGAAGCGTATCGTCAAAGGTTCAGAAGTGGGGTCAAGGGAGATAAGCAGACACATGTGGAGTTTATCCGTGATTTAACTTCTCCTTTTCAGCGGTGGTGCGCGGCAGCAAAGGTTGCAAGTTTTGACGGTCTTTGTGAGCTCATTGTCTTGGAACAATTTAAAAACATTCTCCCTCAGCGTGTGGCCACATATGTGAATGAACAGAAACCTCCCACCGCGTTTAGAGCTGCTGAATTAGCGGACGATTTTGTGTTGACACATAAGGGCAGTTTTGCGGAGAAATATTCTAGGGGTGATTGGAAACGTGGAGAAGACAATGGAGATGCCCGTACAAAGTTTTCACCAGGCTCCTCCCGTAGATTTGCAGGTACAGGGCGACCCGAGGGGGCCAAAGTGGACCAATGTCACTATTGCAAAGGTGGGGGTCATTGGAAGGAGCAGTGTCCATTGCTGGAAACGAAGGGGAAGCCTCGTTTGTCACCACATGCTCCAGCCATGTGTTGTTCTGCCGTGTTGGTTAAAAAGCCACAGGGTGTAGGATCGGGCATGGTGCCTGATAAGAAGCTGGTTTGTGCCGACTTGGATGTGGGTTCTGTTTTTGGGCCGTTCATAACGGAAGCCGTTGTGTCAATAGTTGGTAGTGACAAGTATGTTCCGATTAAGGTGTTGCGTGACACAGCAGCTAGATACTCATTTATTGTTGAGTCAGTGTTGCCTTTTTCGTCAGAGACAGAGACGGGGGATTTTGTGCTGATGAGGGGAATGGAGATGGGCTTGATTCCTGTGCGACGTCATACAGTAGTGCTGGATTGTGAGCTGGTACGGGGAGTTGTGTCTATCGGCGTGCGTCCCGCATTGCCACTTGATGGGGTACAGATGATTTTGGGCAACGATCTTGCTGGTTGTGTGGTGTGGGCAGGTGTGCCACCGCCTGTGGTGGTTTCCAGACCGTTGGCATCTGTAGAGCCAGATAAGAGTGGTTTGCAATTTCCAAGTGTGTCTCCTTTTTATACTATTACGCGTGTGCAGAGCCGTAGGATGTCTACTGACCTACCTGTTTCGGAGTCTGGAAAAAGTGGCCCAACACGGTCCTTTGACTTTCAGATCGAGACAAAGGTGAAGAAGAAGAAAGAGAGGAAACGCCGCAAAGCGAAGAAGAGGAGGCCGAAGGAGGTCAGCGCGCCCAAGAGGCCGATGAGCGCCTACATGCTGTGGCTCAACGCCAGCCAACCCAAGGAGGAGTGGGACATAAAGGCAGTGGAATCGAAGAAGCAGTACGAAATCGCAAGGCAAGAGCTCGAAGACAGAGGCGGAGGAGGAGCGTCCTCCAGTCCTAAGATGGAAAGTAAAAAGCTGGAGTTAAGAAGAAGGATGTTGGGTTGTCGTGGACCCCTTTGGGGCCCCGTCTTAAGGGGGGGGGCTGTGATGCCCCTGTGGGTGCATCAGTAGATAGGGTGTGGCTGTTCTGTCTGTGCTGCATTGGCTCCAGTGATTGCACCGATTGCAGTAACTCAGGGCACCTGGGTCTGGTGCTCTGCAGCTATCTTAAAGCCTCTCTGCTCCTGTCTGCTCTCTCGCTCTGTTTTCCTGCAGGCACCCGGCTCTGATGAGTATAACCAATGTGTTGAATTGACCAGTGTTGTGCAAATAAACACCTTTACCTACCCGTTGACATGTTGTGTCTCCTTTTTGTTGTGGCCTTTTGAGCCAGGTCGCAACAGAGTTCATCAGGTTAACTTCATGAGAGAGGAACACAGAGGGTTCATCAGGTTAACTTCATGAGAGGAACACAGAGTTCATCATGTTAACTTCATGAGAGAGGAACACAGAGGGTTCATCAGGTTAACTTCATGAGAGAGGAACACAGAGGGTTCATCAGGTTAACTTCATGAGAGGAACACAGAGTTCATCAGGTTAACTTCATGAGAGGAACACAGAGGGTTCATCAGGTTAACTTCATGAGAGAGGAACACAGAGTTCATCAGGTTAACTTCATGAGAGAGGAACACAGAGGGTTCATCAGGTTAACTTCATGAGAGAGGAACACAGAGTTCATCAGGTTAACTTCATGAGAGAGGAACACAGAGGGTTCATCAGGTTAACTTCATGAGAGAGGAACACAGAGTTCATCAGGTTAACTTCATGAGAGAGGAACACAGAGGGTTCATCAGGTTAACTTCATGAGAGGAACACAGAGTTCATCATGTTAACTTCATGAGAGAGGAACACAGAGGGTTCATCAGGTTAACTTCATGAGAGGAACACAGAGTTCATCAGGTTAACTTCATGAGAGAGGAACAC